CGTAGTTTGCGCTCAGCTTCAGCTCACTGGTGATGCAAGGCTCTGGTGGAATGCCTACTGGAGCATGCGCCCCGGTGAAAAAGCGGGTTGTACATGGGACATGTTCAAGGAGCTAGTCCGCAATAAGTACTACCCTTCCTACTATCGGGCAGAGATGGAGCGTCAGTTCTTAGCGCTTCAGCAGGGCACTCGTACTGTTGATGAGTACGAGCGAGAGTTCACTAGACTTGCAGCTTTCGCACCAGACTTGGTTCGCACGGAGGCTCAGAGAGCGCAGCGGTTCATCGACGGGCTTTTCCCAGCAGTCCGTCACAACATCGTGGGACACGGGACTCAGACCTACGCTCGTGCAGTTTCTATCGCCCAGGAGGTGGACGCTAGCATCCGGAGAGAGACCGTTCGTGATCGTGCCCAGCCATCCGCCCCAGTTCAGCCACTTGCAGCTCCACCAGCTCTACCAGCCCCTCAGCCGGCAAAGGAGAAGAAGAGGAAGGGGAAGGGTGCACAGACTGACCGGAGGACCCGACAGAGACAGCAGCCGATTCCACCGTGCCCGACTTGTGGTCGACTTCATCGAGAACAGTGCCATGTGGGACAGGACATCTGCTACTACTGCCACGAGCCTGGACACTTTGCGAGTCGCTGCCAGAAGAGACTCCAGCAGCAGCCTCAGCAGCCTCAGCAGCCACCACAGCAGCAACAGCCACGTCAGCAGGCACAGAGGCCGCCTCAGCAGCAGCAGCAGAGGGGCAGACAGCAGGCCAGGGTTTACGCAGTTGATCAGGCCGAGGCAGCACAGCAACCAGGTACCATGTCAGGGATGGTTGTTCTCAATAATATTCCTGTGTTTGCTTTATTCGATACTAGAGCGACACATACTTTCATCTCACGACGATGTCTCGATGCCACCGGAGTTTACGCCGTTACCGCTGTCGATCCTCTCGAGGTGAGTTTAGCCTCGGGACGAAAGATAGTGACCTCAGCTAAAGCCTCAGATCTTAGCCTTTCCATCGGTGGCCGTGTATTGACTGCCGACGCGTTTGTTCTCGAGATGAAGGACTTCGATCTTATTCTCGGGATGGATTGGCTATCCTTCTATCATGCAGATATCAGGTGTCATGACCGGGAGATCACTCTCTATCTTCCGGGAGATGAGTCGATTACCTTCTTCGGCTCCAGGAATCGTTCACTGCCTCATGTTGTTTCGATGGCGAAAGCCACTAAGTTATTGCGACGAGGCAACTGCCAGGGTTATCTGGTTAGCCTTGTCGATGATTCTCAGAAAGCACGTTCACCTCATGATGTTCCAATCGTTCGAGAGTTTGTGGACGTGTTCCCAGATGAGCTTCCAGGAGGACCGCCCAACCGTCAGGTGGATTTCTCTATCGATCTTATTCCAGGGGCCGGTCCAGTATCCAAAGCCCCATATCGTATGGCGCCTAAAGAATTACAGGAGCTGAAGACTCAGATTCAAGAGCTATTACGACTCGGTTTTATCCGACCGAGCGTGTCACCGTGGGGAGCACCCGTTCTCTTTGTTAAGAAGAAGGACGGATCTATGCGTATGTGTATCGACTACCGGGATCTTAACCGGTTGACGATCAAGAATAAGTATTCGCTTCCCAGGATCGACGACTTATTTGATCAGTTGAGGGGAGCCTGTGTATTTTCAAAGATTGATTTACGATCAGGCTACCACCAGCTGAAGATTAAGGAGTCAGATATCGCTAAGACCGCTTTCAGGACTCGTTACGGCCATTACGAGTTCGTCGTCATGCCTTTCGGTCTCAGCAATGCGCCAGCAGTTTTCATGGACCTCATGAACCGTATTTTTCATCCCTACCTCGATCAGTTCGTTATTGTCTTTATTGACGATATCCTTATCTACTCGAAGAGCCAGAAGGAGCACGAGGAGCATCTGAGGGTGGTTCTTGAAACCCTCAGACGAGAAAAGTTGTATGCAAAATTCTCCAAATGCGAGTTCTGGCTCCAGCGAGTATCCTTTTTGGGTCATTTGATTACTCAGGCAGGTATCGAGGTGGATCCTTCTAAGGTCTCAGCCGTTCAGAACTGGTCGACACCGAGGAGTCCGTCAGAGGTTCGCAGTTTTCTCGGTCTAGCTGGTTACTATCGCAGGTTTATCGAGGGCTTTTCCAAGATCGCCCTCCCTCTTTCCCAGCTGACGAGAAAGTCTGTGAACTTCGAGTGGACTGATTGTTGTGAGGCGAGCTTTCAGGAGCTCAAGAGGAGGTTAACTTCAGCACCGGTGTTGACTATTCCCGATCCTTCTCGGAGTTTCACTATCTTCAGCGATGCTTCGAGACAGGGCTTGGGATGTGTCCTTATGCAGGACGGCCAGGTCGTTGCGTATGCTTCACGTCAGCTTAAGCCACATGAACAGAACTATCCTACGCACGACTTAGAGTTAGCAGCAGTCGTTCATGCTCTTAAGATTTGGCGACATTATCTTTACGGCGGACGTTGCGAGATTTTCACAGATCATAAGAGCCTGCAGTATATCTTCATGCAGAAGGAGCTCAATATGAGACAGCGCCGTTGGCTCGAACTTGTCAAAGATTACGACTGCTCTATCCAGTATCATCCGGGAAAGACGAACGTCGTCGCGGACGCCCTTAGCCGAAAGGTGAAGGGTGACTTGACGTACGTCATTACGCAGCAGAGTCCGTTGATTCATGAGTTTGCCCGGATGCAGCTTCAGGCGATCGATGCGCTTCCCATAGTCGTTTCGGGGAGTACCAGTGCCAGTATCAGTGCTATGCAGCTTCAGCCGACGCTGAGAGAGAGAATCCGACGAGAGTAGGCTTCTGACGAATTCGTTCGTGTCATGGAGGCCAAGGTTCGCGTCGGAGGCATCGAGGATTTTCAGCTAGGTGCCGATGGTGCCATAGAGTTCAGAGGAAGAATCGTGGTTCCGAAGGTCGAGGCGTTGCGAAAGGAGATTTTATCAAAGGCACATACCGCACCCTATTTGGCCCATCCCGGGAGCACGAAGATGTATCACGATCTGAAAGGGTCGTTCTGGTGGCGAGGCATGAAGAAGGACGTCACCGAGTTCGTCAAGAGATGTCTTACCTGTCAACAAGTCAAGGCCGAACATCAGAGTCCGATCGGCCTCCTGCAGCCACTGCCGATTCCGAGGTGGAAGTGGGAGGAAGTCACGATGGATTTCGTTACGGGATTACCAAGGTCGTCTGAACATCACGACGCTATCTGGGTCGTGGTCGACAGATTGACTAAGGTCGCTCATTTCTTACCCGTTTCGATGAAGATGTCTCTGGAAAAGTTGGCTGAGATATATACCCGTGGGATCATTCGACTCCACGGGTGCCCGTCACTATTGTATCAGACAGAGATCCCAGATTCGTCAGTC